TTTCATTGTGGAATTTCCAATTCCATTTTAGTTGCTGCAAAATTGGTTATTTTTCACTTATTTTTGCAGAAAAAATTTTTTTTCTGCAAAATGCCTCATTTTAAGTAAATTTTTGCAATATCATGAAGTCAATATTTTCAAGACATAATGAACAAAGTGTCAGTATTATTGAGTTTCGGAGAGTTGACTATCTTCCATTACGCTCACTGCAGCTGATTTCTCTGTTGCCTCCCTAAATGGGCAAAGAAAATGTAAAAAAGTATGAGAGTAATAGTAACAATGCTAATTTTTATGGGGGGGTGATCATTGCCAAAATATGATAAATTTATAGAATGGTCTAGTTCTCCACGCGCATATCATTGTCAATGCATTATGTGTACCATAACTATGGGGGGTGATCACTGCCAAAATATGACATATTTATAGAATGGTCTAGTTCCAGGGGCGTATCTAAGCTCTGAGAGTTGGCTGGGCACGGAGAAAAAATATGCGGCGCGCGAAGCGTGCCGCGAAAATTTTTTAGAGCTAATTAATATTCATGATGGGCGTGGTCAATTAAATACTACGATTATTACTTTAATTAAGCTAAGATGTGCACTTCAGTGCTTATATTTTCTTCATTAGTAGTAGTACTGGCCTTGGGAAGACATTCAAACAGACTCAGCAGAGTTTCTTAGCCATTTTCAACTCGATTACTTTAATAATTAATGTGAATAGTCTAATAACTGATTGGTTAGTAGTAGTTATTATTTTTAAAATGGCAGCCCAATTGCCCAAATGGAGCTATGGAAGTCTCTACCATGTCATCATTATATTTACACTGGCTAAAACTATTAGCTATGCCAGTCTTGTCTCATTGCTATCATAATAAAGTGAGCAATATTTTTAAAAGGACTAATATGCAAAAGAAAAAATTTTTTTGGTCTGCTGAGTTGGTCGGGCACAGGCCCACCCAGGCCCACCCTTAGATACGCCCCTGTCTAGTTCTCCACGCGCATATCATTGTCAATGCATTATGTGTATCATAACAACAGCCAAAAGTCCAACATGATCAGAAATCACCAGTCCACCAGTATTCTTTTCTTGCGACATAGGTCAACAAAAAAATATCATGGTCTGAAATACAGACAACTATGGTCAACATGGGTGGGCGCGGCTAGGCTTTGTGGGCGTGGTTTAATTTTAATTCATATAATCAATGGAATGGATCTATGCTGCTGTAAGTTCTACAATCAAAGACATGAAAGAAGAATTTCTAATAATTTATCCCCACAAATTATGCTGATGGAACTTAGCTGTCATAGAAACCACATCTGTTATATATTTTTTAAAGCTTACAGGACCTTCGAACTTTCTCTATCTCCATCTCAGTAGAAATCAAAACTGAGAGCGGGTGCCCGGCCCCTATCTGGTTAACGACTTCAAACTATCATAATGAGTTCAGAGGAAGGCTGTAAAGTACATTCTGAATGCACAACCAGACAATAGATTTTATTATCTATGGTGATAGTGATGATTGAGCTTCCTTCATTTCTTCCTTTTATGATTGTCGTCACTATTACCCATCGCTTCTAACTCCTGCTGAGTCGTCACCTATCCCTTAACCTGATCTTAATCAAGCATGTCAGATTTTATTGAACTCAATACAGTTAACAGCTCAGCCCTAGCTATCTTCCACTCCTAGCTATCTTCCACTCCAACGTCAATTAATGTCAATACAGATTTAGTTCCACTTGAACGCCAGTTGATGTAATTTTGTGAGTTAACAATTTCTCTCACTAACAATCTTTGTAATATGCATGATAGAGAGAATACACAGCATGATAATAATGTCCTGGCAGTCACAAGACTATAGCAGTCACTCATCAACCATTTTGTGTGGTGTTTGATTAAAAATGCAAGTTTTATCAAGGACTGTTGTCAGTCAATTTGAGTAAATTAGTGTTGCTTTATGTGTGAATAAGTTTTGCTGAGCAAAATTATTTGTGTATTATTTGATGTCATTTTTGTGATTGTGTTAATATTGCTTCTTTTTGTTATTGCTGTACTGAGTTATTTTAATTTGGTTGTAGTTTGTGTTATCAATAATTATATACAACAATTTTTTATTATTAATTTTTGGTGAAAACTGATTATCATTATATATACTTGCCTTTCAAGCAATATGATAATTATCATTACTAGTCCAGTATTATTCTAATGCAAGAGTATGTACGTAATAAGAAGCTAATACCTATTAAGACAACATAAATTATTATTAATAGGTATTATCGTGTATTTTGGATGTCCTTAAGTGGCCAAAGACAGCCTTGTGAGGCATGCATGGAGTTTTCTACTAAAGAAGTACTTTCAGGACTTCAATTTTGCAAAAAATAGCTAATGTTTTATAATGTTTCTAAATTCGTGCTATGAGGAGATTGAAACCAGTCCAAGACTATTGCATCATGACAACACGGTCTAGAAGTACAATTTTTACATGACTTCATTTGTTGTGTTTAGAACATAAAGTTATATCTTGCTGAGATAACTTGAAATTTTTTGGCCCTATTAAAATCATATTCATTTGAATATGTGGCAGTTATAGGAACTCTATACAGGACATTTGCAACCATATCAGTTATGTGAATTAATATTTTTAGGAAATTGCAATTGAAATTAATGAATATGGAGATAGAGGAGATGCAACACCCACCAAAACAAAGGGCTGTCCAGCTAAGTGCATGGTTTTTGTGGGTGACTCACTTACCATGTAACAGGCTACAAACACTATTCAAGCAGGTTTTCACTATAGTTTAAGAGTGTATAAGAGTCAATTAAAGTAAACTTTTTGTTCCGTGAATATTTTAGTAGCTAAGTATAAATCAATACCAAAGTTAGGTGAAATCTGATTAGGATCAACTGTTAGTTTTAGCTGCATAAAATCATCATCATTCAGTGGATTGGGTGTCTGAATTACTTCTACACCTTCCACATCACCTTCTGTTGGAAGTGGTCCATCCCAGTCAATTCCATGTGCCAAAACTTCCTCCTGTAAAAATGAATTTTGTTCAAAATATGCTATTTCAGCTACATGAGTTATTATTAATACTTACATCAGTCATTTCTTCAAATGTTACGTGTTGATTTCTCAACAAACCACTGATCCATAACTGGTCTGGAGTGAGGTTACCCTCTGAAGAGAGTGGATGATTGTTCCAAGCATTGGTGAAATGTGTAAGAGCCATATTTATACGAGAGATGTAGACATAATGTAGACAAAATAAATGAATATCATTATCGACTAAGAAAAGCTGTGCCTGTTCCATGTGATAGAAAACCTGACGAAAAAGTACCATACATTGTGAAGACACATCCCTCCACAGCCTCTCTATTCTCTGATTATGGATACTCTTGCCTGTAATAAAACTTCCCCTATTAGGTCCTCTCATGGGATGTTCCAGCATAAAAGTAGCTACTTGCACGTTCTCACCCCCTCTATCTGCTCTAACTCTATCTGGCAGCCCATAACGTCTCACACCTTCTGTAAAAAGAGTAAGAACAGTTTCAGCTCTGTTGTTATCACTACAGTGGAGGTATATGATCCTGCGGCTATAGCCATCAATACAGCCATGGATTATCATACGCCACCTGCAAAAAAATTAAGCAATAATGATAAGTACTATAAAGTGTGGGGGTTCATTAATATACACTTTTCAATATGGCACTTTCTCTTTATCATAGTTATGTACATAAAATTTTTTTGCAACTTGAACAATTTATAGGCCCATTAAACAACCATCACATGAGTCAAAAACCACATGAAAACAATAGTGATACAAAAAACTATAGTTTGGTTACTTAGTATTACAGTAACAGAATTTTGTCCCTTACAAAAAATTATTAATGCAATAATTGACCAGTTGGTGCTAGTGCTGTATAGAGAAATTTTGTGAATTTGCTCAAAAATTTAATTCATGATTTTATGGATTTAATTTCAAAAACTATACTATACTATGATAAAACTATATCATCCTGTCATTTCTACATATACCACATAGTAAGATACCGTACACCAGTTTATTTTTGCGGTGGAAATTTTTCACAAATCTTGTATTTTTAAGATTTCGTGGAATAAATTTTTGCGAATTGCTTGCAGACTGCACCACGTGGCAATGGAGAGCAGAATTTTGTGGTGAAAAAATTTTGCCAATGATTACCAAGCCACGAAATTTGCGAAAATATTTTACCACGAAAATAAACCGGTATACGGTACTTTTGTGGCCGAAAAGTTCACAATTTCTACTTTTCAGAAATGCCAAACTATATTATTGTGAATTTTGAAAAAAATTTGGCTACTGAATATACAAACTGTACATGTACTCACTATATAGTACTTTACTATGAAAAGCAAAACATAGAATTACTAATTATGCCTTAAAAATGAATATTAATTCGAGGTCACATTTGTGCCGTTGATAGTGTTTCGTCGTGTAATTAGAATTTACAGGTTATAAAGAACTTAGTAACATTAAATGCATTACCTGATTAATTCATGATTCCCATCTATGTGATACAAAGATCTCGGAGCCTTTACTTTATACTGATGTTGCTGTATTGTGAGAAGTCGGCATGTAAATGAACTATGAGGATGTATCCTTCGCAACGATTCTCTAACTCTTATTTGCTGAACCCTAATCCCCCTACTAAGAAGATGGCCTTGCATTGTACTGTTCCCGCACATAGGAAATGAACTTTGAATGCTTCTGGTTATTAAATCTAGTTCATCGTCAGTAATTTCAGTGTACTGGGCTGCAATAGATATTCCACACTGCTCCATTCTTCTAAATATTGTATCAACAGGTACACCAATTATACTAGCAATTTGCGGGACTGTGAACTGATTTTCTACTA